GTTTTACCATGTTGGTAAGACTGGTCTTGAACTCCCGACCTCAGGTGATCCACCCATCTCAGCCTCCCAAAGTGCTGGGATTACAGGCGTGAGCCACCACACCTGGCCACTCCTTGCCTTTAGGGTAAACTAATTCTTCCACTCTGGGTTCCCAAGCCCTTGGTTGTCACCTGCTGCCCTCTGCTTCCCCATATCTGCAGCATCTCACCCTTTCCCCTCATAAATATGCTTAAGCCTCTCTTCCATGTTACCAACAACTTTCCAGTACCCTCCCTTCCTCTTTATTTTACTCTATACATCATCTTGACTTTAGAAACAAACTGCATCTTATAAAATAAATTATATAAAGTACTTCCATTTGCACAGCATCCACCCACTAACCAGCACATGACAGTCAGAATCACGCCCACCCAGCACCACAGAAAAGCTGCACTAGAAATTCATCCATGACCTCTTAAAGGCTAATTCAAGGGACACCTTCAACTGGCATGCCTTTTGGCTTTTGTGTAATAGTGGACACTGCAATCACTCTTTCTTTCTCTTAAAATGTCTCATCTTTTAGAACGCCACCCCTTTCCAGTTTGTGTCTGTAAGTTATGGAGAAAAAATAAAAAAGGATTTTTCCTGAACTCTCACTCAACCATCAACACAGAAGACTGCTGTGACCTCTGGTCGCCAAGATATGTATGGGGATTTCTCCCCACTGTCAAAAGACAAGATTACAACACATTCAGTCTGAAGATCTTAATTGGTTTTTGTTTGCAATTCTAAAATTGGGCAACACCTCCTTCTATACAATTGAATGAATGTTACAGTGAGTCAAGCAGAGGAGGCTGGTTTTATAAACTGAAAAGAGCTGAGAAGAGCAGAAACAGTAAACAAAATGCAGATTAGTTTCAGTTAATTTCCTCATAAAAGTTAAAGCAAAGGGAACTTCTTTAGCATGTTGGCTAAAACTGGCCTGTTTGGAAATTTAGTTATTGTCTCTATCTCTCTTGATTTCTCGAAAAGTCAAACAACTTAGTTTTGGCTTGGTGATGTCTAAGTTTAGCATGAGTGATTCTGTTGTGGTTTGGTCTGTTGGGCCTGGCAGTAGTAGTTCAATCCAAATCAATGGGCTCCTATAAATTTCCTTTAACACCACCAACAGCCAATCAATCAGTTTTGCAGTGGACACAGCTGGGTGTCTTCTAATTAAATTCAATTCTGGGCTGGGCTTGGTGGCTAACACCTGTAATCCTATAATCCCAGCACTTTGGGAGGTGGAGGTGGGCAGATCCCTTGAGCTCAGGCATTCGAAACCAGCCTGGACAACATGATGAAACCCCACCTCTACTAAAAATACAAAAATTAGCTGGGCGTGGTGGCAGGCGCCTGTAGTCCCAGCTTCTCGGGAGACTGAGGCAGGAGAATCACCTGAGCCTGGGAGGCGGAGGTTGCAGTGAGCTGAGATCATGCCACTGCACTCCAGCCTGGGCTACAGAGCTGAGCCCCATCTCAAAAAAAAAAGAAAAAAAGAAAAAAAAATTAATTTTGAATTATCTACCTGGAAGTACCATTAGATCCCACAGACTGATGGCTCAGTCCCACCAGACTGCCCTCCACTTCAGATACCAATCACAAGCCCCAGGTTGTTTTACCTCGGCTTGTGACCAACTAGGGATAAATCAGGATTCCTACTCCTAGGACTGGACTCATTTGCTAGAGCAGCTCACAGAACTCAGGGAAACACATTTACTGGTTTATTATAAAGTATGTCTCAAAGGATATGGATGAAGACATGCATAGGGCAGGGTTATGAGGGAAAGAGTGCAGAGCTTCTACCCCCTCCCCAGGCATGCCACCCTCCAGGAAGCTCCGAGTGTTAAGGTATCCAGGATCTCCACAAACCCAGTCCTTTTATGGTTTTATGGAGCTTCATTACATCGACAGGATGGATTAAATCACTGGCCATTGGTGATTAGCTCAACTTTCAGCCCCTCTCCCCTTCCCAGAGTTAGAGGTGGGGCTGAAAAGTTCACATCTTGACCTTCCCTGTGACCAGTCCCCATCCTGAAGCTACCCAGGGGCTCTCAGCCACCAGTCATCTCATTAGCATACTAACGACACTCATCAATTTGCAGATTCCAAAGGTTTTAGGAGCTGTATGTCAGGAAACAGGACTAAGACCAAATACTGTACATATTTCACACTGCCACAGTCCTACCTCTCTGGCTTGGTCATCTTTATAGACTTCTCCAAGCTCCTATTGTTTCTCATTTATTTTTTTTTAATTTGTTTATTTTTGCCAGGCCCCTCCATCACATGGAAATATTTCATTTTTTAATCTCCTATTTGCTGAGTGAAGGAGAACAATCAATTCAGCGACTTGAGCTGATTTAACTTTTTTTTTTTTTTTTTTTTTGAGACAGAGTCTCACTCTGTCACCCAGGCTGGAGTGCAGTGGCATGATCTCGGCTTACTGCAACCTCCGCCTCCCAGGTTCAAGCAATTCTTTTTTTTTTTGAGACGGAGTCTCGCTCTGTCGCCCAGGCTGGAGTGCTGTGGCCGGATCTCAGCTCACTGCAAGCTCCGCCTCCTGGGTTTTTTACGCTATTCTCCTGCCTCAGCCTCCCGAGTAGCTAGGACTACAGGCGACCGCCACCTCGCCCGGCTAATTTTTTGTATTTTTTTTTAGTAGAGACGGGGTTTCACCGTGTTAGCCAGGATGGTCTCGATCTCCTGACCTCGTGATCCGCCCGTCTCGGCCTCCCAAAGTGCTGGGATTACAGGCTTGAGCCACCGCGCCCGGCCAAGTTCAAGCAATTCTTGCCTCAGCCTCCTGAGTAGCTAGGATTACAGGCCTATGCCACCATGCCCAGGTAATTTTTGTATTTTTAGTAGAGACGGGGTTTCATCATGTTGGCCAGGCTGGTCTTAAACTCCTGACCTTATGATCTGTCAGCCTTGGCCTCCCAAAGTGCTAGGATTACGGGTGTCAGCCACCATGCCTGGACTGTTTCACATTTCTTAACTGTAGGTGTTCCCATGGATTCCATCAGCCTCTTCCCTTTTCTCCCTCGGACTCCATGCTCTCCCCAGGTGGTCTCGCATATGATTTCAACTAATGCAGAATGATCCCGCCCAATCACCAGCCCAGATGTCCCTCCTGAACATCACCTCTAGATTCTTCCCTAGGGCCCAAAGTCACCACAAATGTCCCAGATTAAAACAACTTAAGGGCAGGGATATCTCACTCACATTATACCTCTAGCTTCTCACACAATACTATGTAGTAGAGACTCAATATGTTAATGAACAGGTGTTTTGTTCACCCCAGGACTTTTATTTGGCTTTCAACAATTTCCAACCCCTAATTTCAGAGGCTCTGCAGTCAAGAGGAAAGTGCAATCATTAAGCCTCATTCACACTGTGTCACAAATTTAATCTGTTACTTTTCCCAAAGGTCTTTACTGTATAAAGTAATGTTACTTTTCCAAAGGGGCCTGGGAAGAAATTAATGCCACATAACCAGTAATCATGTTTCTACAAGACTAGGACCTAAAGAGCCCCACTCCCATCCCACTTAGACCTCACACTGTTGGTCTCTACTCCTCCCCATGCCCCAAAACAACTGACTCAGACCCCATAGATGACACCCATGCCTAGACTTTGACCACTCATCAGAAAGACTGCCTTCTGTCAAACTTCACTGTAGACCCCAAGGAAAAAAGGGGGACTATCTACTGTTCCCCATCCTTGTGCCCTGTAACACCATACTTCTGCTCCCCACTTCTCTTTACTTTTTCCTACCAATGCCACACCCAGAGCCCAGCCTACAGAGTCTTTGGATCCCAAGCCTTAGAATAACAACCCAGGCTTAGTGACTGCCCAAGATTGTGTCAAAAAATGCTTCCTAGTTACCATAAAATATAATCCTTACCACATTACCACAAGAAACAACCTTCAATAGAAGGACATTTTTATCTAACTGGAAGAACAGAGGTAGGACTAACTCCAGGCAGAACACAATTTGTTCAATGACATCATCAAAGTTCCAGTTTATTTCTGTCTCTGCTGTCCTCCTTTTCAGCTGTATATTATTGGTGCTCCTCTTATTGTCTGCAAGATAACAACAATGGCAACTAATGCCACACACCTCCTTAATCACATCTAACCAGAGACAGGAGGAGACAGGAAACCCTCCACCCAAGTGCAGAATATAAATCCTAACCTGGTTAGGTTAATACAGGTCACATGCTCATTCCTGGACCAGTGAATTACAATGTGTATGGCCTGATTGGCTTATGTCAATCACTATTTCCCTTTTGGAGCTAGGGAGGTAGCATACGCCTTTACGAAACAATAGTTCTATTAGAAGAAAGACGGTGAAAGAATCCAGGCAAAAGAAAGTTTCTCACCTGAGGTAGTCAGTATTATCTCAATTTTATATGGGAAAACCAGCGCACTAAGAAATCAGTGACTTGCTGAAGATCATAAAGCTATCTACTGGTAGAGCTACTATTTAAGTGCTCGTAATCTCACGCCAGTGTTTGAGATATTCACTCCTCCATTATGATACCTAGGCTGTACCCACACAGAAACCTTTGGTGACTGGGATTTAGAGATGAGAATTATGGCCTTAAAATACAAAATATTGATTTCATCATTTGTGATATGAAACTTGAGAGAGAAAATACTCTTTTTGCACATGTCTTTTACAAAATAAGTTTTTTCTCTATGAGCCATCAATTATTAAATTATAGATTTAAAAGTAAACATGATATTCTCCTTGAGAATAGTGTAGCTTATATTCTTCCTCAAGCAAATTCATATGTGTTTTTATACTTTGAATATGATCTTTCTAACTTTTATTTGGTAACTGGCCATGTAAAAACCACGTAATTAACAAATCGTGTTGGCTTCAAAATAGATTGCAAATTCAACCATTTCCTAACACTTCTACCATTCTACTCTAGTCCAAGTCACCATCGTCGCTCTATGCTAGATGACTGCAATTGCCTCATTATGAGATATACAGACTGCTGGAGAAGAAGAAATTTGAGTGGGAGAGTTCAACTGAGGACAGGTTTAGCTTGCCGTAATCTTGGCTAGAGAGATCCAAATGTAGATTTGGCATTCGGAGAGTGTTCTGGAATGGATTAATTCACAGCTTGAGGGACTTCAGAATCTCCATCTGGACCCTTCCTCCCACCTTTCCATTCTCCCCATTTGTGTGCACTTCAAGGTCCCGGAAAACCCTGGGGATCCTAGGAGGGTCCCTTTTCAGAAGCCCCCATTTTCACTCAACTCAGAGCAGCCTAACCAGGCTCCAGACCTGAAAGGAGCAGTTCCTGAAAGTGCCAACTTTTGTACCCGGCTCCTTCCCTGGGCTGGGCCTCCCCAGACCTCAGCACTTGTCCAGAGAATCCCCTTCAGGGCTGAATAAATTCATCCTAAGGAAAGAGAACAGCACATCGAAGGCTTTGCATCATAGGTAGCTTATTATTGGATTGCTTTGCAATAACACTTTCTTACATTCAGGAGACTTCCTTCAGACACATGTCTACAAGATCCGAGAGGGACAGGTCCCGGCCACAAATTCAAACTTTCTTCAGTGTCTTTCATGTCTTTCTCACCAAAAGCAAAGCCAAGACTTCTCCTTTCATCCCCACTTTTCCAGGGGAGATCAGTCCTTAATTACAAATAGAGTGAACTCAAATGGAATCCCGAACAACCAATCACTTGGTAAGCGGAAGGCTGAGGAACGCTAAGACAGATGGTTCCACTTATCCTGGAGGCGAAAGACAGATCTCCAGTGTATGGTGGCACGCTAATGGAGGCGACCAGGTCATGGTTGGTCAGGGGCTGGCTCCGGACACGCTCCAGCATCTCGAGGCCTGCAAAAGAAGTGCCCGGGGCTGGTGAAGCAGAGCCCATTACTGGGGCCCTTGGCAGGCCTGGACTCCACCAGGGACATTGCAGGGAGGATGTCACCCCAGTCAGGCCTTCCAAGGTAACCCATTTATATCTCCCCACTACCCTCTACTCCCCGAGCATTTGGATGCCACAAGAGTGAGCCCTTCCCTTCCCAGTGAACTCTAGGAACCACCTGGATCCCCCAGCCACACAAGGGATCCTTCAATAATCCAAGGTGCCACACAACTCAGCCAGAACTCCACTATCAAGCCCTCCACTACCACAGTTCAGCCAAGGATACCTACCTTGATCATGACGATAGGAGTCCTGGCTCCCCACACAACAGAACATGTGCAGCAGCCACTGCCTTGCCCTGTGTGGTCCGACTACAGTCACACGAGTCTGGCCTTTAGCTGTGAACCAACTCTCCAGCTGAATAAGGGTGTGGCTGTGCACCTCAATGCAGCGAAGGTATGTGTCACCGTGCCCTGTGAGCATAAGAGGTGAGAGGAGGGTCTGTCAAGCACCAGCCCTTGGGGAGTCGGGAGGTGGCCTTGAGGGAACTTCCGGATGTGTGACTGATGAAGGTGGAAAAGGAGGAAAAGATTGAAAACCGAGAAGACAAGGATGAAGGCGGGGATGTGGGCAAAGACCACTCACCAAAGATGAGCTCCTCCTGGTCCTCTTCCATGTGGAACACCATTGGAGCATGAAAGTTTTCAGGCAGGGTCCACCATGGCTTCTTGCTGAGAGCACTTGTTCCCATGCCTGTGCTCTGCTTTGACCTGATTCAGAAGAGGCTCACGTCCAAGCAACTGGTTGGCAAAGGACTTAGAAAAAGTGAGGGAAGGGCCTAGGCTCTATCCTTATAGGTACACAAAACAACCCGCCCCTTGAACCACCTTAGGGTGGGTGTCCAATCCCCATAGCTCTTCCCAAGATAATTCATTCCAAGTAATTATCTGCTCTGAGGTAAATCCTTTCATGCCAAACTTAATCATCTGACTAGTGCTTGCTATTCTGATGCCCCAGAATCAAAAATTTTCTTCACTCCAAATTCAAAGAATTTTGGAGTGAAGTCACTATTTTGCAATCAGCAGTGTAAGAACTGATTCATGCAGGGATCATCAAGGGATGCTGAGACAAATGAGAAGGAGGCAGGGCAAGGGTTGAGGGATGGAGGTGCAGGAAGGCTCCAAATGGGCTCCCTAGATTTGCACAGGTGCTGGCAGCCACCCAGTGACCACATAGTATATTCCAACAAGACTGGGTTTGTTTGGTGTGCCGCATCAAGGGAGAGTAAACAACACAGGAAAATAAGCATGTCGTAGGGAGTCGATTATAGGAGTTGACTAGAGGAGAGTGTTTAGGGAGTAGGGACCAGTTTTTGAAAATGGGGCAATTGGGTGATTATCCTGGTAACTTTATCTGGGAGGTAGGGGGATTAATGTGGTCTTGATTGCAGAGTGTCAAATCTCTCTGGTTTCAAACACAGTTAGAGTGAACTCTCTACATCTTGTTGCATGACAATCACTGAGCAACCTTTACTGGTTAAAATATTTTACAAGAGATGTTTATGTTTGGTAGGGAAGACTTGAACTTGCCTGTCAGTTCCCAACTGCAAGTTCCTAGGTGCTTTTTCACTTATCATCCTCCCCTTTTGACCAAAGTCAAACTCAGCTATCAGGACTTTTAACTGTGGGGTTCAGATCTACACCACTGCCAGAATCCACTGATCACAAGTTTATCAGGACAACATTGTTTGCATCTGCGTACAGGTGGTCTCTCATGTACATTGTGTTGCAAAATATAATAGTGAAAACATAATGACCCGGCTGGTTAAACCTGGGAGGTGGAGGTTGCAGTGAGCCAGCTGGTTAATTTTGTTTTTTAAAATCAACATGTTAACAGTTATATGTCACTGTACAATAAACAAGAGGGTATTTTAACTTTAGAAGTATATGTCATTTGCCAGATGTGGTGTCTCATGCCTATAATCCCAACACTTTGAGAGACCAAGGTGGGTGGATCACTTGAGGTCAGGAGTTCAAGACCATCCTGGCCAACGTGGTGAAACCCCGTCTCCACTAAAAATACAAAAATACAAAAATTAGGCAGGCACGTGGTACATGCCTGTAATCCCAGCCACTCCGGAGACTGAGGCAAGAGAATCACTTGAACTGAGGCAGGAGAATCGCTTGAACCCAGGAGGCAGAGGTTGCAGCGAGCAGGGATCATGCCACTGTACTCCAGCCTGGGTGACAGAGTGAGACTTCATCGAAAAAAAAGTACACATTTTATTATAATTAACCTAGGAAAACCTAACTTTGATTTTGACTTATCAGTTTTTTTATGTTATTCTTAGTTTGGTAACCAAAAGAAAACTCGGCCGGGCGCGGTGGCTCACACCTGCAATCCCAGCACTTTGGGAGGCCGAGGCCGGCGGATCACAAGGTCAGGAGATGGAGACCACAGTGAAACCCCGTCTCTACTAAAAATACAAAAAATTAGCCTGGCGCGGTGGCGGGCGCCTGTAGTCCCAGCTAATGGCGTGAACCAGGGAGGCGGAGCTTGCAGTGAGCCGAGCTCACGCCACTACACTTCAGCCTAGGGGACAGAGCAAGACTCCATCTCAAAAAAAAAAAAAAAAAGAAAACTCATAGTATATTTGAGTACTCAAAATTTAGAGAATGTCAAGCAAAATTGAATATTCCTTTAATTTTTCCTTTAGTAAAATTAAAAGTGCAAATATTTTTATTAACAGTGGTCATTGCAAGAAATTCAGTAAAAGACATCTTAATAGTTTGAACATTTTGGACTTTGGGCCTGAATTTCATTTAATTATTTACTTATTTTATTTATTTATTTATTTATTTATTTATTTATTTATTTATTTTGGAGACAGAGTCATTCTGTTGCCCAAGCTGGAGTGCAAGATCTTGGCTCACAGTACCCTCAACTGCCTGGGCTCAAGCAGTTCTTGCACCTCAGCCTTCCAAGTAGCTAGGACTACAGGTGCATACACTTGGCTACTTTTTGTATTTTTTCTTTTTTCTTTTTTTTTTTTTGAGATGGAGTTTCACTCCTGTCGCCCAGGCTGGTGTGCAATGTCGTGATCTCGGCTCACTGCAACCTCCACCTCCCAGGGTCAAGCGATTCTCCTGCCTCAGCCTCCAAGTAGCTGGCACAGGCCACCATGCCCAGCTAATTTTTGTATTTTCAGTAGAGACAGGGTCTCGCCATGTTGGTCAGGCTGGTCTTGAACTCCAGGTTATCCACCCACTTCGACCTCCCAAAGTGCTGGGATTACAGGTATGAGCCACTGTGCCCGGCCAATTTTTGTATTTTTAGTAAAGATGGAGTTTTACCATGTTGGCCAGGCTGGTCTCGAACTCCTGACATCCCGTGGTACACCCACCTCGGACTCCCAAAGCGTTGGGATTACATACACCAGCCAACACACCTATACTGGGCCTGAATTTTTGAAAAAAGAATTAAGAAAATAGGTTTTAGACTAGAGTACTAGCAATTGAAATGTATGAATTTGGGATTTGTTTTGAAGACAGAGTCATCAGGATTTTTTATTTTAAGATTTTGGGCAAGTGGCTCCAAAAAAAAAAGGTTTTTATGGTGGGTTGTGGGTTTTTTTTGTTGTTTTTTTGTTTTTTTTGAGATGGAGTTTTGCTCTTGTTACCCAGGCTGGAGTGCAATGGCACGATCTCGGCTCACCACAACTTCTGCCTCCCAGGTTCAAGCGATTCTGCCTCAGCCTCCCCAGCAGCTGAGATTACAGGTGTGTACACCAAGCCCGGCTAATTTTCTATTTTTAGTAGAGACAGGGTTTCATCATGTTGGACCGGCTGGTCTCAAATTCCCGACCTCAGGTGATCCGCCCACCTCGGCCTCCCAAATTTCTGGGAATATAGGCGTGAGCCATGGTGCCCAGCTTCAAAAAAAAGTTTTTAAAAATCAAATTCTAGCCAGGCAAGGTGGTTCACACCTGTAATCCCAGCATTTAGGAAGGCCAAGGCAGCTGACCTCCTTGAGCTGAGGAGTTTGAGACCACCCTGGGCAGCATGACAAATCCTCATCTCTACCAAAACTACAAAAAGTAGCCCGGCGTGGTGGCCTACGCCTGTCGTCCCACCTACTCTGGAGGTTGAGGTGAGAATCGCTTGAACCAAGGAAGCAGACGTTGCAGTGAGCTGAGATTGCACTACGGCGGGCCAGCCTGGGTAATGGAGTAAGACCCTGTCCAAAAAAACAAAAAGCAAAAAACAAACAAACAAAAAAATCAGATTCCAGACTGAGTACGCCCCACAGCGTCTTTCCACCTGCTGTAACAGCAGCAACAGCAGTTACCCACCCCCGAGCCTGCTCCCCGAGTAACACCCATAGGCCCCTCAACCGACAGAGGAGATCTGTGCCTCAAAGAAGTGTTTGTAGTCGGGGAGGGGGGTGCAGTCAGCCAGGACCAACTGGTGACCCTAGAAAAACACTCACACCACACACTCCTTTCCTGTTGCAGGCTGTTCCCCCAAGAGTGGAGAGAAATGTGAATGCCTCAAATGAGTCTGTTCAGGGACAGCAGTGGAGTCCCAGACCTGGCACCAGGTCCTGGTCCTCCCTCCAGGTAAGGCAGCGAAACTGGCTATACTGGGTTTTGGTAGTGGGAGACAGACCTGAGGAGGGAACCCCAGGTGGACTATTGTGAGAAATATGATACCACATGTGCATCTCCTGGAAAATCATTTTGCACAGTCCCGAGATTGAGAGTTTGGAGCATCCCCCTTCCTGCTCCCTCTTTCCTTCCCCTCTCTCCTCTGTCTTCTACTTTTCTCTCTCTCTCTCTCTCTCTCTCTCTCTCTCTCTCTCTCATCTTCCCTTATTCCCCCTCCTTCCTCTCTCCTTCTTCCTGGTTTTCTTTTTCCTCCTAGAGAGAATTGCCTTTTCTTAGAGGAAAGAAGCGGGGTGAAATAAACAGATTTTCTTCTGTCCAGGGGTGAAAATAAGACAGAATATACACTCTGAGACCGAGCATGGTGGCTCACGCGTGTAATCCCAGCACTTTGAGAGGCCGAGCCGGGTGGATCACCTGAGGTCAGGAGTTCAAGACCAGCCTGGCCAACATGGTGAAACCCTGTCTCTACTAAAAATACAAAAAAGTAGCCAGGAGTGGTGGCACATGCCTATAATCTCAGCTACTCTGGAGGCTGAGGCAGGAGAATTGCTGGGACCCAGGAGTCGAAGGTTGCAGTGACCTAAGATCATGCCACTGCACTCCAGCCTGGGCAACAAAGTGAGACTTTGTCTCAAAAAAAAAAAAAAAAAAAAAAAAATTATATATATATATAAAATGTTTGTATATCAATATATGTATATATTATATATATGTATATGTGTGTGTGTGTATGTGTTTACACTCTGAGAAAATTAGAGTACAGAATGCAATTAAACAGAAAAGAGAGTTAACAAGATAGCCCAGTCCGTTGGTCAGTGAGGGGAAGTATCAAGTGTGACTTAATCTCCTTCTTGCAAGAAGTTACATCTCCAACTTGATTCTTTCAAATAGACAAATATTAACCAACAATCCAATCCTCTTTCAACTGCTTAATTGCTGTTGCTTTTGGGTGACTTTCCCTGTTTCCATCTGTCCTGTGGAGCTATTTGATATTGCACATCAGTGTTAGTGTCTGAACTTTGAAAGGTTTTTTGAAGAAAAAAAATTATAAATAAATTATTAATTTCCTGAAGTTTCCTTGTATGGCTTTATGTTGGGAGGCCAAAAAAAAAAAAAAAAAAAAGCTAAGTTTC